TTTAGGGTTTAGGGTCAAGTTTTGGTGAAGCATTGCCGTGGGAACGTCGTAGGGCCCATACGTAAAATCCGTCATGGCTGTACCACCCTAAACACCCAACCTTTATTTTCTACAGGAGGGGGCTCCCAGGCTTTTGAGTTCAGGGAGGTATCCCAATGCTCCGTAATTAATGTGGCTTACTAATCCCAAGGGTCGTGCATCCAGGCCATGTCGGACCGAAGCAGCAGCAAAAGGAAAAGCGGTAACGCTAAGCACGTTGTTAAAAGTCTCTTTATCTTACTACAATTCCCTTTTAAGGTAGCATCGCTTGTGCCAGTAAAAAAATGGGGTTAACATTAAATATCAATAGAGACTATCGGACATCAGATGGTCGAACCCCCAAACACCAGGTGCAGTATGGAAGGTGAGCCAAGAAGCAACATCCTCGTGAGAGCAGCCTGACAGACAGGCAAACTGTGGAATGCAATCTGCTTACCCCCGCCCCCCCCCCCTCCCCCCTCCCCGCCCGCCAAAACTATGTATCATGGAAGCCCACTTAGAGCCCAATTTATGGGGACCTTTTGACTTGTTTGTTTCCTGCCTGGAGTCTTGAGCACAATGCTCATCGCGTTTGTGCATCATCGCTGTGAAGCTCCGATGTGCATGTCCAAAACGTTGGGAAACTGGCATTGTCTGTACCTTTACATAGAACGGCTACTGATAGAACCATCCGGTTCTCATGACGATAAAACACACATACCTGAAATGCTTCTCATCCCGTAACCTGAATCGCCTCTTCCTCACAAAGCACCCGGCCGGAGGGAAGTCAGCAATGCCCTAGTAGAGGCCTGAATCATCGGGAAGATCATCCCCTTATCATCCTCACACATGGCTAACACCCAAATTCCTAAATGATAGCCCCTGGAGCTGTCAGAAAGGACGCATGCGCGCATAAACCTCAAATCCCAAACCCTTAGCCCCAAACAAGCAAACCCTACATCCCCAAACCTCCCAACCGCTCAACCCCTAAAAACCTAAACCCTAAGCCCCTCAACTTTAAGCTCCTTACCTCCTAAACCCAGTGGCTTTAAACAAACAACTAAATCCAAAAACCCCACTCATACACCAGCCAGGCAATGCGTCGGATGGTTCTGTCTCAGAAGCACAAGGTGCCGGACTGGTTCAACTTCCAGGCTCCCTGGTATTTAGGGGTTAGGGTTTAGGAGTTAATGCGGATTTAGGGGTTTAGGGGTTAAGGTTTAGGGTTTAGGGTCTAGGGTTTAGGGGTTAGGGTTTAGGGTTTAGGGTTCAGGGTTGGGAGTATTTTGTAGGGTTTAGGGTTTAGGGTTGGGAGTATTTTCTTGGGTTTAGGGTTTCGGGTCGATAGAATTTTGTAGTGTTTAGGGTTGCGGGTTGGGAGTATTTTGTAGGGTTTAGGGTTTCAGGTGAGTATTTTGTAGGGTTTAGGATTTAGGGTTGGGTGTATTTTGCAGCGTTTAGGGTTTAGGGTTGGGAGTGTTTTTGGGGGTTTGGGGTTTCAGGGGAGTATTATTTATGTAGGGTTTAGGATTTAAGATTGGAGGTATTTTGTGGGGTTTAGGGTTTAAGGTCTAGGGTTCGGAGTAATCAGAACATCCCTCCTATAACCTTTCGTGGGGTCGGAGATTCTCTTTGTGTTTCTCATAGATGTTCTGTGTCCTGTGAATATGCTACGTTCTGTAATTGGCGTGTCACAACATATGCAAAGGGTTCACTGCCACCCAGTCAAAGCTTAGCCGGTAGAAGTGGGCTTAGGGTTTAGGGTGATGATGATGTTGTTGGTGTTGGTGTTGGTGATGATGATGATGATGATGATGATGACGATGATGTTGGGGATGATGACGATGATGATGATGATGATGAGGATTATGCCTTTGATGGCCATTTGAATGCACGACATGCAGGCGTTTCCCAAAATCAGTGGCACCTCATTGGGGTCCTCACAACAAGGATTATCGTATGTTTTGGGGTCTATATCAGGGTCCCCTGATTTCGGGAAATTGCCATGTGTAAGTAGTTGTTCAAAATACCTGTCCCCAAAATGGCCATACTGTAGGTTCCCTGGTTGAATGGGGATCCCCTTTTAAGGAAGTGTATTCCCAATGGTCCCTTCTCTACAAGCACCTTTAGAACAACCCTAAACCCTAAGCCC